GAAGGCAAGGAATTGACCCTATTGCAATACTTCCTTTGCAGAGGTGCTAGAAGTTGTCCCTGCGACCCTGGAGGTTTCCAGCACCAGCATCAAACTGAACTGGACCTGCAGATTCCCTGATGCCTGCCAGCACGTGCAGGCCACATGCCGGCTGGCAGGGCCTTCCTCACCTCCTTGTACGGCTGAGGAGGTCACTGGAGTGGAGCTCCTACACGGACAGAGGGGAACATTCACCTGTCCTCCCCTGCAGCCCTTCACTGACTACACTGTCACCATCTCGGTGCCCCCCAGCACAGTCCTGTTTTCATGGATGATCAGGACAAAAGAAACAGGTAGGTGTCCATGGCATCGTACAGGAGGGAAGGGGCATTCCTGGGCTGGTTCACCAGCAGAGAGGCAGAGAGAGGTGACCTTTGCCCAGCACTTCATTCTGAGCATCCCTCCCTGCTGTGATGGTGCTGGCACTGGGGCTGCATGCAGAAGAGGCTGTGCAGAGTCCTGGAGCAGAGCTCTTTCCTTCCTACCCCGCCCTCCTCACCACACCATCGCTGCTCCTGCTGTTGTGAAATCCACGCTCCTTTTGTGGCACAAAGCGTGCTTGGGTTTGCTGCACAGCCTGCCCCTGGGCAGTAGCTGAGGGCATCCTGCTGTGGGCTCAGACCTTCTCTGCCAGCCCCACTTGTGACTCCGTTTTCCTGCGCTTCCAGTGCCGCAGAAGCCGGAGCAGCTGCAGCTGGATGCCAGCACGGGGACCCTCAGGTGGAAGGCGCTGCCCTCCTGCCAAGGGGAGATCGTTGGGTACCAGGTACCAGGGGCCCCCACCCAGCCCCTCCCTCCCTGCTGACAGCTCTGTGCACGCAGGTGTGCAGACCATGGAAAGCCCTGAGGACCAGCAGTCACCCATCCACGTGCTGAATTTCTGGCTGTCATGAATTTGAGCATTTCCGACTTCCTCTCAGTGGTCCTCAGTCCCCAGTGATGTATTTGGCGGGGTGGCCTTACAGGCTTTCCTGTGCCTCTTGCATTCTTATCTTTTCTCTGGCCATGACAAAGGCTGTGGTTTGCAGTGCTAGAAGCAGGGCTGAGGGAGGAGAGCGCTGCACCCAGCTTGTAGCCACCTCAATTTGTGACGTGATTCACAAATCATGAGGATGCCTTGCAGAGGGCTTGCAGAGCAAAGGCACAGTCTAAGCAACTCCATTTTCTGCAGCTGCTCTGGTGCTACCTAGAGGGTTAGCTCCAGAGTCTTTCCTGCCCTGCTCTGCTCAGCACTGACGCTTTGCTCACACACACACAGGGCCGAGGCTCCCGCTGAGCTCTCTGGGCACCTGCAAGAGCTGGGATAGGAACAGGGGCAGGAGGAGCAGAGCAACGTCTTGCTGCCTGGCTGTGGTGTGGGCAGGTTCCTGCAGGATCGTGGCCGCTGCCCTCCAGCTCCGTGTCCCGTCCCCAGCTGAACGTCACGGCCAGGGCCTTGCAGGACGGCGGCTTCCTGCAGATCGAGCGGCTGAGGCTGAGCAGCCAGACCACGGAGCACCCACTGCCCGCCTACGGCCCCGGCACCACATATGCGGTGGCCGTGCGGGGCCTCACAGCCGTGGGTCCCGGAGCTGCATCACAGTTTCGCACCAGCGGCTCAGGTGAGGGTCTCCGCACGCAGCTCCTCCTCCTGCCCCTCCGTGCCAGTCCGCTGAGGCTCATCATGGGGATCTTCCTCTGCAGAGACGCCCGATGGCTGCTCCCGCCTCCTGCTCCATACCTCTCCATCTCACGGCACAGCCGTGCTTCCCCTGCACCCCATCTCCCAGCGCCCTGAGGCAGCGAGGTGAGCGCAGCCCCGGCTGCTCTGCTCTTGCAGCCCTGAGCAGTGCTGCATCCCTTAAGCTGCCTCTGTCCACCTCTCTCCATTCCCGTCTCTATTACCACCCCCACAGCCTCACTTTCTCCATCCTCATCCCCATCTCACTGCCCTACCTCCATCTCCAACCTCATTCCCATCCCCCTCCTCACCACCCATCCACATTCCTATCTCTTCCCCATCCCCATTCCACACCCCCGTCCCTTCCTCCACCCCAATCTCCATCCCTATTCTTGTTCCCATCCCGTTCCCCATCCCCATCCTCATCCCCTTCCCCGTCTGTTCTCGTTGCTGTCCTCATTCCTATCCCTGTCCCTGCTCCCGACCTCATCCCCATGTCGCTCTCATCCCCTTCCCCGTGTCCCCTCATCCCCATCCCCCTCTCACAGCCCTGCCTTGCAGTGAGCACCAGCTGCTCGTGGCGGTGACACACAACAGCACGGTGCTGGAAGACGCCTGCTCGGGGGAGCTGCAGCCCTCCAACCACAGCCACCCTGCTGACCCCTACGTGGCCGCCGTGCTCAACCTCAGCGCGCCCACGGACTTCGTGCTGGGTGACGGGGCCCGCGGGCACGGCTTCCACAACGCTCCCCTGCACCCAGGATGGGATTACACCGCCCTGCTGCGCCTCGCCCGGCGCTCACCGCAGGTACCCGTGCCGGGGGCTCTTGTGCACGGGGCGCGGCAGCGACCGCCGTGTCCTCAGCCACGGCTGGGGCCTTTGGTGGCCCTGGGTGGCAGCTCCTTGCTGTGTGGTGGCTGACGTGGGATTGCTCTGAGCTCCGTCCTGTGCCCTTCAACAGGCGGAGACGTTCACCTGCGTGTGCTACAGCTTCTCCATGGGTAAGTGGTTCCTCTGCCCCACACCTGTGCCTGAGGGTCTTTCTGTATCGCCCCTTTTCCCAGCCCATATCCTTGCAAGGAGAGGAGCTGGGCAGTCCAGCAGCTCTTGTGGGAGCAGAGGAAACTTCTGTTTCCCAGATACTGGGAGTATTTACCTGCTATAACCGGTTCCTAC